GTAATTGTTTGCACTGAGCATGAGGATGAGCTCCTCCTGCTTATTCCCCAAGCTCCTGGCATTAGTGTAGAGGCAGGCAAGTGCCCCCCGGGGGACTCCTTCCTTGCACACAGATTGTACCAGGGCTGGGGCCGGGGTGGGCTCCCTGAAGTGCCGTGATCCGCTGGCTTTGCAAGGATTGCTCCGTGATCTGCTGGCTTTGCAAGGATTGCTCAGCGGGCCAGCAATGGTGGTAGTCCCCCCGTGCCCCAACGGGCTTAGTTTAAAGCCTGGTGGAGCAGGTCAGCCAGTCTGGCTGAGAAGAGCCTCCTCCCTAGGGGAGAGAGGTGGAGGCCATCTCTTCCCAGCAGCTCGCTGCCTCTCTCGCCAAAGAGCGGGCTGTGGTCATGAAAGCCAAAGCCTTCCTGACAACACCAGCGCCGCAGTCTTTGGTTGACCACATAGATCCTCCTGTCCCTTCTCAGCCCATAGCCTGAGACTGGGAGGATCGACGAGAACACCACCTGTGCCCCCAGACCCTTAAGGCCCGCTCCCAAATCCCTGTAGCGCCTCATGACCTGGCTGGGAGTGCTCTGAGCAGTGTCATTGGTGCCCACATGAATAAGGAGCATGGGATAGTGGTCTGTGGGTTTAAGGAGCTTTGGGATCCTCTCCGTAATGTCCCGGATGCGGGCCCCCAGGAAGCAGCAGACTTGCCGGGCTAAGGGGATCCTGCATCAAAACCCACTGCCCCATGTTGCTCATGAGGGGGACCTTATCCCAGGCTCCCCCTGCATGCCCTCCCCTGGCTGGAAACCCCATCAGCTGGCCAGGAGTCCCCATCCCCCAGCACGTGGGGATCTGGAAAGGCTCCAAGGCTGGGTACTGGCCACACCTTCAATTAAGGGCATAATAACCAGCCACAAAGTAATGACACATAACATCATAACTCTGTGGCTGAGCCCTCGTTTTATGACTCCATTAATTGACAGAATGTGCGGCCAGGTCGCTACTTACAATATGATTAATCAGTCTGAAGTGTAACATCTGTGAGGGGCCCACGAATAAATTTGATCTAATTATTAAATGCAAGAACCGATCCTCTCGTAGCTATCAGTCGCGTTGTCCCAAGACACCAATACTTACCACAGGTGAAACAAGGGGTCACAGTGGTATTGAAAGCACCCAGTTTTATTTTTTTCCCCCCCCATCAGTGATTCTTTTTCTCGGGATGAAATTCTTACTCTAGGGCCAAATTTTCTGGATTATTTTTCTTTATATTTTTTTTTCTCCTAAATGTCAAGAACAGCGGGGGACGAGGACTTTACAGCAACTCTAGTGGGTGGCAATGGACTGCTTGCCCTAGCACAAACCATGCAGTAATGGTGCTTCATGAGAGCTCTTCTGCTCTTCACAAGACTTTCTCTCGCTGTCTCATGGGGAGCTGTGGAGGGTTACCCAATTTTACAATGGGCGAAGAAGGAAGCCAAAGTGCAGAGAGATCAAATGAATTCCCTACAGGCAGTTAGTCTCATGATTTGAAGCCACCCTTCTCATAACATGATCCAGTCCAGCAGCACTTGACTTGCAAGCTTGGTTTTACTGTGTTTTTCTGGCCGGGTGGGAATTGATAACAACCTCATTAAATGTGATTGTTTAAAGAGCTGGATGCAGTGTTCAGCTAAAACAGGCAGCAAATAACTTGGGTTATGAGATGGTTGATGTAATCCAGTCCTGGGACAGCAGCTCTGGCTAGGCACTGAAGGACCCAAATCACCAGTTACTTTTAAAGTCACAACAACATTGGCACCTATAAATGTCTGGTGCAAGCACCCTCCAGTTCTACTCCAGTGGAAGTGCTCCTAACATTTAATAGCAGACTTGTTGCACTGTTGGTTGCATGTCCTACAGAAAAGGAAAGAAAAAGAAGAAAGTTTGGTTTGTTTTTTAACATTTGTCATGAAGAGTCCCATGTGATAAGTTGAAGATCAGCTGCAAAAGAGCTCTTTGCTCCTTCGGAGAGGACTCCTTAGACTTTCTGGTCTTTTGGGATCTTTTGTATTGACTCTTAACAGATCCTTTGGGAGCGTGTCACTTGTTAGTCTTACCTCCTCTAGAACTAGCACTAGTCCTGCCATCCCTCCCCTCTTCCCTTCCAATTCAGCCACCAACAGTGGTTTTCAACCTTTTTTCACTTGCGGACTCGTAAAAACTTTTGAATGGAGGAGTGGACCCCTTCATAAATTTTGAATAGAGGGGCAGACCCCTTTGAATTGCAAGTGCGAGTATTCACATAATTTTAATTGATCATCATCCTCTTTCGTGGACACCTTAGATGTACCACAGGTTGAAAGCCACAGCTCTTGAATATCTAACTTCATTGCAGAATTAGTCACCATGATCTCTGGATTCCTTGTTCGTAACAGCAAGATTCAGGCCTTTGCTTAAATTCACCTTTGAGGAAGCAGTCTCACACAAAGACCCCTACCCACTTTGTGGTTTTGCACTTGTTCTTCAAAACAATGGTCTATCTTTGGGTTATTAATTTCCTTTCAGCCCTTGGAATTGAGATTTATAGGTCAGCTAGGGGTTTCTTTAGCCTTTGTGTCGTATTTAATAAACTCTTCCAGAAGGATCTGGTTTTCTCCCCCTCCCCCCACACCTTTCCCCTTCCTCTGATATTGGTCATGAATGCACAGATTACTGTAAAACAGAAAAGCTTCAAGTTTTTTCTGCTAGATGGAGCAACCTCTGTTCCTCAGCCTCCAATACTCTGTGTGCGCACTCCAAGCTAGTACGTAAAGTAGTCACAAATGTCTGTGCTTATACCTGTAAATTATTTCTTCAGATTGGACAGCTTGTTTTGTATGATTTAGAAATATCCAGAGCAATTTTATATACAGAAAGATGTTTCATCTGCAGTTGTTTAAAATGCAGTGTTTTTCACTCTCATCCCAGTTCTTAGTCTGGACTAATAACATCTTAAATATTTTACCACTTCTGAAAGAAAAAAAAGTCCTATTTCTTGTCACTCTGTGTGCAAACATGGAAGAAGCAATGTTTCAAGTCCAGAGAACTTTTTGAGTGCAATCATGACTTGGGGTTTTATCGGTCCTGGCATCATAAGGTGCAAAACAAGAGCCAAGAGCTGTATCCTCTCCTTTTGCAACTAAGATAACATCCTAGCTCTCCTTGGTTTGCAGAGGCAGTGCTTGCAAGTGTCAGCAGTGGTATGATCACATTTCATAGGTGATATCTTCTCCAAGCAGCAGTTCCCTTGAGCAGGGGAAAAAGAAGTCCCTTAAGGATTTCTCCATTCGAGTTTAACAGACCTGGGATCAGGGTGCATCACCGTCAAAATGCATGTATCTAACCTGGCTTCTCACCTGTTAAAACTTGGTGGTGGCAAAGGGAAAGCGAGGGTGAACACACAGCATGGAGACACAGAGGGCAAAGACGAGGGCAGTCAGTTGACGGTGTTGCACAGTCAGCTTGTGTAAGCTGGTTATAATAGCAGTCCTTCCAAAAAGTAGTTTTGAGTAATACTTTTGACCTAGGTAGAAAGATAATGGGGGCTTGAGAGCATCTGAAAAGAGGAGAGGGAGGAGCAAGTTTTGCTTTTTTTTAAAGCCTCCAGATGATGTCGTGCTGCTTCCCAAGAAATGCTTTCTGATGACCCAAAAAAGCTTGAGCCTTGCAGCAGGGTGAGCTTCACCCTGCAGTTACATTAGCATTCAGCTGCCTGGGGTGGGAGGCGTCACTACGGTCAGATGCCAGCTGCTTGCCCAAAGGTAAGAAAAGCGGAGGCGGAGGTCTCCCTGTGAAAACAGCTGCCCTGCCTCGCACCTTGTATTTCACCCCCCGAAAAGGCCCTTTCTGTAGGGCTGTGGGGCTCCTCAGGAATGCATTTCACTACTTCTTTGAATTGTTCCCTGTACAATAGAAATCCCTCTCGCCTGGGTTAAGCTTTTGTGCCGTGGAGGAATCTGAGAACCTCCTCTTGACGGTGCCTCCATTGGGAGCCCCTATAACATTCCTTTGCTTCCCCCTTGTAAGGCTGAAGAGACGAGCGTCTGTTATTTCCCAGCGCAAAGGTTAACCACCTAACTCATTCCCTGCCTGGGAACGCTCTGACCTACCAAAGTCTGGGAGGGTAGAATAAAAGTGCTGTTTAAATTCAACTCATTTACCTATGCCCTGACTTTCAGAGCTGTTGAGCAAGCTCCAATCACATCGATGTCAGCAGGCACCGCAAGTATTCATCACCTATGGGAAGCGACGTCTTTAGCGTCCAGGCTGTAGTTGTGCGTGTTCCTACGATTTGAGACTCCCAGCATCCTAAATCCGTCATTTTCTGTCCATCCCCTAATGCCTTGGAAAGGAGCTCTCCTTGTAAAACCCTGGGTCATCTATAAAGGAAGTAGTCATAAAAGTCAGTGTGGCATAACACCGTCGTTAAACTCCATTTCAGCATCGTGGAGGAGAGTGCCAAAGGGGGGGCAAGTCTTTGTAATGAAGCCATAGTTTGGCATAACTTGGACAGCTGAAGCAGACCTGACATATAGGCCCAGTACAGAGAAGAGGGCCCTGAGAATATACTGCAGTAGGAGACTGCAGCTCTGCTTGAGTTGTATTACGAACTAAAGAGGCACTTCACCTGTGTTTTTTGAGTATTGTCTTTGGTACAGGCTGAGATACAAAGGGAAGGTGATCTTGCCCAGGGGAAAAAGAAACAGAGGGTTTTGTTTTCCATTGCTTGCAAACAGCCAGCCTACAGATAGCGCTGCAGTGAGTCTCCAGAGCAGACCTGAATAAGGAGCTGGCAAAGCTTGGATAGAAAGGAGGGCGGGCTTCAGCAAAAGTGCTGTGCTATCACAGGATGTATTCTGATCACCTTTCTCTTAGCAGGGCTGTGACCCTTTTGCACAGACCCAGCGCAGCAAGCTGCAGCACCGCCGCGCACGGATCAACCAGCAGATCAACAAGGAGATGAGGATGAGAGCTGGGGCGGAGAACCTCTTCCGGTGAGTGCATGGCCCCTTGCTGTGAGCACCTGGGCACATTGATGTCATTCTCTGCTTTCTGTCACTTCGGGCTGTTTGATTCTCCTCTCTAGTGGGAAGCAGTGATGCATCCTTGGCTTGTAAGGAAGAAAATTGACCAGCTACATGAAGGTCCAGGGCAGACTGTGGTTAATCACATCTCATTTAAAAACACAAAACAGTCTGCATTCTCTTGCACCCAGTACAACCTCATTCTGAACCACCACTGTCTTCAATTTTTCCCCCTCTTTTATTCCAACAGAGGATGGACAAAAGACCTATCCCTGTGAGTTTCGTTTTTGGTGTTCCTAGTTTTACTCCCCTTCTCTCACTTCTGACCCCAGCTGGAGAGGAATAATCACCCTTTCCTTTGCTTCTATCCTGCTAATGCTTTACCACTGGCCTTAAATTATGGGCATTTCTTCTGACTGTCAGAGCTCTCTGTTTTACTAAGATCTGTGCTTTCAATCATGCACACACCCCTTTCTGTTCCACCTCCCTTTCTCTTACCACTCTAGCTTCTCTGCCTTCTTCCATTTCGTCCCATAAGCTTGTAGGAGTCTTCCCAGTTACGTGGAACAAGCTCTTCTGTCTCAGTTTCCAAGAAATGACAGGCCTCAAAGTATTCCAGGTCCCATGGTTGTACCCTTTTCTGTGCTCATTCAAGCTTCCTCCGTGCCTTTAGACAGCAAGCCTCTTTGGGATGGATTCTATAATCTGCAAGGGAATGACCTTTCTCTATAAAATAGCGTGCATGTTTACCGCATTATTGAGTAACAGTTGTTTTAATATCCTGGAAATTAATCAAAACTGGTTTCTACGGTGGGTGGAACAATGGAAGGCAACATAGAACAAAGACCTGAGCTCAAGCGTAACCACGCGTATTTGGAGATGCAGTGTGATAACTATCGGTGGGTGAACTAAATTCAGCCCTGGTGAGAGCTGGCCCGTTGCATGCTTATGCTTGGACAGATTCGGGCCAGGTAACTCTTTGCTATCTGTTGCAGAGCATACAAACACAATATAGTCTCTTTTCCTGGGGTTTAGCTCTAAATACAGGCACCCAGTCACAGCCAATGTGGGATACTGATTGTGAAATATTGGTATGTTGTACTATTCTGTTTTTTATGGGTATCTTGGTTTCATAAGCATTTTAAGTGAGAGGTTTCTTAGCTCATATATATATATTGTGTGCCTATACAGCAGGATAGTAAGGTGTAGGTGTGTCATATGCTATGATAAACTGTTTTAAAAGTGTGGAAAATACCTTGTATACGAGCACTCATTGGTCATATCTACATGTACATTAATGTGCTTTTTCTAATGCACGTTAATTATAGTTTTTAGTTGTTAAAAACTAACTGGATGGGAACTTACAGTTCATCAGGTCGAGATCCCCCTGCACGTGGGCAGGAAAGACTGCTGGGATCAAATGATCCCAGCAATATGGGCGTCAAGATGTTTTTTGAAGATCGCCAGCGTGGGTGATTGTATCACTTCTGGGGGCAGCCTGTTCCAAACTCTCAGCACTTGGCTTGTCAAGAAGATTTTCCTTGCTTGTAGCCTGAAGCAATCTTCAGTTAGTTTGTGCCCATTATTTCTTGTCCTCACCTGGGGGGCCATGGTGAATAGATGCTCCCTCAAGCCCTGATGTACTCCCCTAATATACATATAGGCTAAATTAAAGTCCCCCCTGAGCCTTCTCTTTTCAAGGCTGAAAAATCCAAAGTCCCTCAGCCGTTCCTTATACGTCTTGGTCTCTAGGCCTCTAATCATGCATGTGGCCTTCATCTGGACTCTCTCGAGCTTCTCCATATCCTTCTTGAAGTGCGGCGCCCAGAACTGGACACAGTACTCCAGCTGTAGTCTCACCAAGGCTGAGTAAAGCCGGAGGATGACATCCTTAGCTTTGCTCGAGATGCCTCGGGGGATGCATGCCAGTGTTTGATTAGCTCTGCCAGCTACAGCATCACATTGGTGGCTCATGTTCATTTTGTTGTCAAGTCGGGCACCCAGGTCTCGTTCAGTTGTGCTGACAAGCAGAGCCTGTAAGCGTGTTGTGGGTTATTTCTCCCCAGATGGAGCACTTTACATTTCTGTGTATTAAATAACATCAAGCTGAGGTCTGCCCACTTCATAAGCCTGTCCAGGTCAGCCTCTATTGCCAGCCTGTCTTCGAGCGTGACCACGCCCCCCCCTCCCCCACATAGTTTGATGTCATCAGCTAACTGTGCCAGATTGCTTGTAATACCTCCAGTGTGAGGCACTAAATAAATGCACATTAAGTTGCCCTAATGCACAGTACTGAAATCATACGTTTAAGTGATGCTTAAGGCACAGTAGCCTATCTTATTACACATTAGTGTAATTGCGTGGTTTTTTTATGTGACACTTCAGTTTTTTGGTAAAATAGGCTGTTGCTCATTAAAGCGCACGTGTAGATGTGCCCATTTTGTGTTCTATAGCATAGAAATGAGGATGTGAAGGGACCTCAGAGGTCATCTAGTCCAACAACCTGCTCAGAGCAGGACCAGCCCCAACTACATCATCACAGCCAGGGCTTTGTCTAACCAGGTCTTCAAAACCCAGATACCTTCCAGGTTGAAGGCTGGATACCTTCAAGTCAGCCGGCACAGACATCTTACAAGCTGGCGAGCATCATAGCTCAGCCCCTGGCACGGATCTCTGAGCACTCATGGCGCTCTGGTGTAGTGCCCGAAGACTGGAAGAAGGCCAATTTGGTACATATCTTCAAGAAAGGGAGGGAAGTGGATCCAGCAAACTACAGGCCCATCAGCCTGACCTCTATCCCGGGGAAGGTTTTAGAAAAGTTTATCAAAAAGACCATTCTTAACAGACTGACCGATGACAACATCCTGAGGGATAGCCAGCATGGGTTTGTTGCGGGTAGGTCTTGCTTGACCAATCTTATTTTCTTCTATGACCAGGTGACCGATCACCTGGACAAGGGAGAAGGGATTGATGTCATATATCTTGACTTCAGAAAAGCCTTTGATCTGGTAACCCATGATCATCTCTTAGCAAAACTGGCTAACTGCGGCCTCGGCCTCACCACTATCCGCTGGCTAGGGAATTGGCTCCATGGTCGGACCCAGATGGTGGTGGTTGACAGAAGTCAATCGTGTTGGTGCGTGGTCACCAGTGGGGTCCCTCAAGGCTCTGTCCTTGGGCCTACACTGTTTAACATCTTCATTAATGATGTGGACATTGGTGTCAGTAGTGGGCTGGCCAAGTTCGCCGACGACATCAGACTCTGGGGTAAAGCATCCACACCTGAGGGCAGGAGGGCAATTCAGGCAGAGCTTGACAGGGTCAGGAAATGGGCGGACGAGAACCTGATGGTGCTTAACACCAAAAAATGCAAGGTTCTCCACTTTCAGAGGAAAGCCTGCAGCATGCTTATAGGCTCGGCAGTGCTACGCTGGCTGGCACTATGGACAAAAGGGACTTGGGCGTCAGGATTGACCACAAGATGAACGTGAGCATTCAATATGACGCTGCAGCTATTAAAGCGAGCAAAATGCTGGCTTGCATCCATAGATGCTTCTCAAGCAAATCCCAAGACATCATTCGCCTGTTGTACTCGGCCTTGGTGAGGCCGCAGCTGGAGGACTGTGTCCAGTTTGGGCTCTGCAATTCAAGAAGGACGTGGAGAAGCTTGAGAGAGTCCAGAGGAGAGCCACACACATGTTCAGAGGTCAGGATAACAGACCTTATGACGAGAGGCTGAGAGCTATGGGACTCTTCAGCCTGGGAAAGTGCAGGCTCAGGGGGGATCTGGTGGCTGCCTATAAGTTTATAAGGGGTGATCACCGGGATCTGGGGGAACGTCTGTTCACCAGAGCTCCCCGAGGGATGACAAGGTCAAACGGTCACAAACTCCTCCATGACCGTTTCAGGCTGGACATAAGGAAGAACTTCTTTGCTATCCAAGCCCCCAAGGTCTGGATTAGCCTGCTGCCGGAGGTGGTTCAAGTACTTATTTTGAACGCCTTCAAGAGACATTTGGATGTTTACCTTCCTGGGATTCTGTGACTCCAGCTGACTTCCTGCCCCTGGGGCGGGGAGCTGGACTCGAAGATCTTGCGAGGTCCCTTCCAGCCCTGATGTTTAAGAAATCTATGAATCTCCAAGGATGGAGACTCCACCATCTCTCTGGGTAACCTGTTCCAGTGCTTTACTACCCTCCTAGTGAGAATATTCTTCCTAATATCAAACCTCAACCACCCTTGCTGCAACTGGAGCCCGTTGTTCCTTGTCCTGTCATCTGCCCCCACAGAGAAGAGTCCAGCTCCATCCTCTTTGCAACCCCCCTGCAGGGAGGTAAAGGCTGCTATTAAAGGTTTTCTCTTCTCCAGACTAAATTATCCCAGTTCCTTCAGCCTCTCCTCATAAGTCATGTCCCCCAGTCACACAACCATTTTCATTGCCCTCCACTAGACTCGCTCCAACTTGTCTACGTCCCTTTTGTAGTGCAGGGCCCAAAACTGGCCGCGGGACTCCAGATGTGGCCAAACCAGTGCCAAGTAGAGGGGAAGAATCACTTTGTTTGATCCGCTAACAAAGGCCTGATGCGAGAATGGGAATGGGGATGGGCATACAAGCCGTTTCTGCGTTCATTCTTTGGTGCTTCTTGGCACTCAGCAGTGCAGTAGAGCTGAAAAAGGTACAGGAGTGATATAGATGATTAAGGCTGCCCCCTTATTGTTTTAGAATCTTATGACCCATAGCACTGTAATGCCTCATCTAATTAAAAAGGGCTTGAAATCCCAATGCGTGCTGTTGCACATGGGTCTGCTTTCCAAAGCCAAGGAGAAATGCACTATGTCAGCAGG